ATCGGAGATATACACGAGTATGTGTTCCAAATTTCAAGTCTCTAGCTTCAATAGCGCCGAAATAGATTGCGTTCATACGGACAGACGGACAGACGGACAGACGGACAGACGGACATTGCACAAAACCAATATACTCATTTCACATTCGTGAATGAGTCTAAAAACAAAAACCTACTTACCTTAAATACTAATTTTTTTTATGTTGAAGTCTCCTGGGTCAGAGGCACACTCATTTTTTTGCATTCTACTGGGTCATTTATATTATCCGTCTCATATTCAACTATTGTATTGATGGGTGTTGACCTGTTTCCTATCAGTCATTAAAAAAGTCGTAATATTTTTTTTACATTATTGATAAATTAATTTCAATAATTAGGGAATGTTTATGTTGCGACTACTTACTTTTTTTAGATTTTTCGCACTCTTTTGGACGCCTGCGCCGTGTATGAATTGTGTCACGTCTCATAGAATGTGGTCTATTGACGCCATGAAGTTTGAAATATAATCCACAAGCGTTACAAACCATTTCTCCTCTAACACTACGCCTCCAAATTGTTGTTGTCAAAGTACCACAATTAGAACAAGACATATCCCTTTGAGAAGTAGATAGAGATGATGTACTGCTACATTTTTGGCTCTAAAAAAAATTATATGTATACCTATAAATGTATTGTATAAATGTATAATTCTTTTAGCTATACCTTTTTATCTTTTAATCCGTCAACCGCTACTGGGGATTCCATACAATCTGATTTAGTGGGAAAACTTTGCTTTCTTCTACATATTTTAACAACATTTGAATCAGGCATGTCCTGTTAATTAAAATTTGTTAATTTTTCTGTTAAATGCTTAATATTTTTATACTCATTAACATTGAAAATGGGAAATCAGGGAATAATGGTTTTGTTAAAAGTATGTAACAGGCAGAAGAAGTATATATTCTTAATCAGGGCGACAAGCTGAGTAGATTTAGCCCTGTGCGTCCTTCTGTTACGGACAGAACGCGTCGATTTTTTCCTAGCTAAATTTCCATAGTAAGACTACACTGTCACACTGCAGACGATGCGTGTTTCTGTGTGCATGCGTATGTTTGTGTGTGTGTGTGAATGTGCGAATAAATATTGAAATATCAGTTGCTCGACGGGCTCAAGGTGTCTCGTAGTCGAGCAGTCATGACTTGAGCTTTCTTACTCGCTTTTATACCCTGATACCCATTAACATTGAAAATGGGAAATCAGGGTATAATGGTTTTGTTGAAATGTATGTAACAGGCAGAAGGAGGCATGACAGACCCCACAAATTATAAATTTTCTTGATCAGGGCGACGAGCTGAATCGATTTGGCCCTGTCGGCCATTAAGTATGAACTTGACATTTTCAAACCCTGAACCCATTTTCAATGGGAAATCAGGGTATAATGGTTTTGTTAACTGTATAGCCATAAGGTATATATTGTTGATCAGGGTGACGAGCTGAGTCGATTTAGCTCTGTCCGTCCGTCTGTCTGTCCGTCTGTCCGTATGTTTGAACGCGTCGATCTCAGAAGATATAAGAGCTAGAGACTTGAAAATTTGTTTCCTAGGTCCGTGTATAGCACGCGCATATTAAGTTTTGCTTTAAATATCGATAAATTTCCCCGTTATTTTGTTATCGATTAAAAACATGATCGAAAAAACAGTAATAAATTTATATCTCCTACATCTTTTAAGCTAGAGTCTCCCAATTTTTTACAATTTCGGATTTTGTCAAAATATACACCCCACCTCTAATTCACCCCCTCACCCTCACATTTGTAAAAGGCGTATTTCAAATACAAGGAACTTTTGTTTTGGCAAGTGCATGTATATCTATGTTATAATTATAATCTGAAGAAAGTACGTCCACAAGAAAAGTTATTGAATAATTAGGTTCTTATAGTAAGCCACCACTGCAGACAATGCCAGTGTATGTGTGTGTGCGTGTGTGTGTCTTGTGTAAGCAGAAAGACGCGAAAAATAATAGAAACAGCTATTGCTCGAAGTCTCGACTAGAGCTTTCTTACTTGTTTTCCCTAGGTCCGTGTATATCACGCGCATATCGAGTTTTTCTGTAAATATCGATGACTACTACCGATTTTTTATTATCCTCCCTCACCTTGCGCCTCTGTTTTGTCGTCGGCTCCAAATTCTCTAGATCCTCCTTCACCTTGTCCCATATCTGTTTCTCCWATTGAGGCTTCTATTGAAACTCAAGCCCCTGTCCCAAATTTGGATGCTACTTCTTTTGTTGCTCAAA